TACACTGACACATCATTATCACTCAAAGTCAGCAGTTCACATTAGGGTTCACTCTTCTAACAGCCTTTTAACTCCTGGGCCAGAATATCTATTAGGGGGGAAAAAAATCTAGGGCTGCCTGGCTCCTCGCAAGAAATACGCTCCTGAATTCAAGTTGCCTCGGAGTCTGACAGCCATCAGAGGCTGACCATAAGCTCTTTACTCTCAGCTTCCTCAACTCTGTACCACTCTCGGCTGGTCTACATGTATCCCTGCGGGAGGGAGTTAAAGAGGCTGGAGCCAAAAGGCCCACAGCTCTGAAGGATGGAGCAGTGGAGAGACGACAGGAATGGTGATTAGGGGGACAAAACTGCCTCCTCTCCTGCCACAAGCTGGGTCAGGATCCATGGCAACCCCTGCCTCCTGGACCCGCGGCTCTGCCACATCTCCAGGAGCCCTGGTTCCTACCGGAAGCCAGACAGTCTGGGCAGCCAGCTCTCCCAGGACACAGTCCTGACTCACCATCCCTCCCTCTCCCTGTCCTTGACCCCAGAACAGGTCCTCCGACCAACATCCTTTAGGACCTGGGAGCAGGCATGAAATGGATAGCAGTTCTAGGCCATCAGATGCTGACAAAGTGAGTGTGCCCTGCCCGGCCTTTCCTGTGTCTTGCTGTCTCCCTAACAGAGCAGATGGCTGGGGTAGATGGCCCCTCCGTCTGCCTTAATTCTGAGTTGAGGGCAGGTGGTAAAAAGAAAGGGCTACCAAACCAAGAAAAATCTAAAAGGTATATTTAATTTCTAGAAATACATTAAAAAAAAAAAAAAAAGACTAGGGCTTTTTTCAGCTGGAACCCGTTTTGCCCTTCCTGGTTGTTTCTCAGTTGTCTTCCTCCTACCCCAACCCTTCTGTGGTAATCACACCTGTGCTGCAGGTGCTGCAGACTTGGTGTTGTCTCCTGCCTCATCAGCCTCACCCACTGTTCTCCTCCTGGATGAGGGTAATTCGTCACTACTCTATGAATTGGTCACAAGGAGCGTAAGGAAAGCAAGTTGCTGTCGTCAGACCCTGAGACCCAGGACGGGAATGCCAAAATGCTTCTGGGCTCATGGACAGCTTTAGCTGCCCACATGCTTTTTCCTCCTGTTCTATTGGGTTGTTGGAAAAGTGATGACGTATTTTTTCTACGTTTTTCGTTGCAAAAATGCATCATGACTTTTCCGACAGCCCAACAGAACTTCTAGGTCAGAGATCACAAGCTCACGAAGCCTACAGGCACCACACAGGCCACGCAAACATGAGATAACAGGGCGTGGCCAGTGGGTTAAGGGGGCAGCCACTGTCCAGCCCCAGCTGATGTGGGTCATGCGTGGATGTGGGCTCAGCAGAGCCAAGCTTTCTGATTCGAAAGACTGGGAAACGGAATTTTTTTCAAAATGTGAACTCTCGCTTTTAAAATACTGATTGGCAAATAATAAAAAATATTTTTAGACCACTGAGCTGGCCAAACAAAACACCTGAATTTGTGACTGCTGTTCTAGGTGTTCCTCTCCGGCGTGTCTCTCCTACGGAAGGTAACGCACGGGTTCCCACTGTGCTGTTTTCGTGTGGCTCTAACTTGGGAGATCATGCAGGAGTTCCAGTTGTTCCAAGCCCAGGACCTGTCGGCTGAGAGGTGTTGGCTCTGGGGAACACACTGCACCAGGCAGAGCTGAGCACTGGCTATGCCAATCTGCTTCGGTGTAATACAAGCCGCTGATTGCGATCTATAAAGCCCTGCATGGTTGAAGTTCTGGTTCCCTCAGAGCTGCTCCTCTCCCCTTGGGCTGGAGTGCGACCTCAGCTCTCTCCCACGTTAATAGCACACACTGAGCAGTCTAGCCCCAGATCTGGGAAGCCAGAGGCTGAGTCGGTCTGGAGGACGCATCAAGCGCCCCGGCAAGTCGCCTCACAGCCCTGGCCGCCAACACAGTGGAGTGGGCGGCCTCCGGGGCACTGTGGGAGCCCCGATATTTAGGCCATGCCTGAGGAGCACGGAACACGTGTTGTTCTTTGTGATGACTCAGGGCTTTCAGGGAGAACCTAGGAGATGCTCCCTGCTCTGCCTCGAGTCAAGGCTGGGGTTTCTGCTCAGACGCCACAGCCAGCCTAGTTTCTGTCCTCTCTGCGAGAAGCACCAAATCAGGGCCAACGCTTTTGGCAAAGACTATTTCAGCTGAACAATGTAAAACTGAGCCGGAGTGGGTTGTGGCAGGCAAACCTCCTCAGGCTTTAGAACAACTAACAATGTGCTCTTGTACCCCAAGTCAGGGTGGGAGCAGAAAGAAATCCTCTTCATTTTTCCTCCTTCCCTATCCGAATGGCTCCTGCCATCCCTTCTCCAGAGACGCCAGGCGGGTGGGCAGCTTGCTTTCCTGGCTCTGGGGAATATAAACAGGAGCACCATGGAAACCCCCAGAGTGTGCACGACACTGCAACAGGAACAAAACTCTTTCAAGTCCAGAAACAAAATCCGGACCCTTTTGTGACAGCTGTGGAGGGCTCCTGGTGAGGGATGCTGGCAGGCTACTAGCCCAGAACCTCACACGCTGAGGACCTTGGACCTCAGCCCAAAGACAGAAGGAGAGGAGAAGGAAGTCTGAAACCTTTTCCAATACCTCACATCCCAGCCCTGAGATGGCATCACAGGGATGGAGACACCCAGGTCTCTAAACTGGAATGTCCCAGAATTCTGAGCAAGACACAGCTGCTTTCCCTCTTGGGCAAAAAAGGACACCAGCCAAAGACCCAGGGACAGATGTAGTTCCACACACAAAAGCAGTGGATCTCTGTTCTTCTCTGCTGCTATGAAATGCCCAAGAAAGACTCTACACAAGTACACTTACCAATGTTTGGATGTTTCAAAAGTCGGCATATCCGGGCCTCCCGTTCTAGTTTCTGGTGATCTAAAAGCAGAGGAGAGAAACCAAAATCCATCAACCATCCGTTCTATTTGCAGCCACCTGGCTATTCACACTCCTTCAATTCTTAGGTACCAACTATATGCTTTTTACGATTTGCTGAATTACTACCACCGTCGTGACAGTCCCGGAGACAGGCATTATGACCACCTTTTCCAGATGAGGAAATGCCTTAGGAAAGGAAAGCACCTTAAGCTAGTGAGTGGCAGGGCCAGGATTTGAACCCAGGTCTTCAGCTAAACTCGGGTGCTCTTTCCACTACAGCAGGGATTTCACTGGGCCAAGGTATCCAGAATCTCTTTGTTAGAAATACTAACAATAGCTAGGTTTTATTGAGCACCTACTACATGGCCAGGCACTGTGCCAGGAGTTTCGCATATATTCTCCACTTTAGTCTTCATAGCAACCCTGAAACATAATGAGGCTGACAATGAAGAAGGCGATGATTTGAAAAAATAATAATAGCTAACATTTATTGACAGCTTACTTCTACACCAGGCAGATACATCTTTTAGTTTAGTCTCATAACAAATCTAGTGAGGTTGGTATTATCATGATGCCCATTTTACAGAAATCCTGCTCCTTCCCAGGATCCTCCTGGCCATGCACTGCTCTGGCACTCAGGCTCTGGGGTTCCTCTACTTGGGTGAAATGTCCAGGATCCAAGAGTATGTAGATCCAAGCAAGCTGCGTTGGTCAGTTCCTTCCACAGGAAGGCTGAGCTCCAGGAAGTAGAAAGAGAGGATGCTGCAACTCACAGCAAGGTGGTCTCTAAGCCCTCTCCACTCTGCTTCCCTAGCTCTGCTTGAAGGAATCTTGCCAAAAGTTACCTCCTTCACCAAGTTTTCCCTGTTCCTCTCAGTAGATGTGACCTTCCCCGCCATCACAACTCCATCTCCCACTGAACCTCTCATAATTCTCACATCATACATCAGTTATCTTTCAGTCACAAGCTCTTCAAAGGGTAGGGCCTTTCGGAGTAGTGTTTTCTAGAATTTCTTCCATAACTGGGGCTTAATAGGGGTTTACCAATAACTTCAACAATAATAGTAATAACTATTATTTGCTAAGCATTTACTATATGCCAGGCAGAGCCATGGATTCTTATTTCATCCTCACAGAAACCCTGTGAATTGGGGGATCTGATTAGCTCCATCACATTACAAATGAGGAAACTGAGGCTTAAACAGTTAAACTAACTGCCCAAGGTCACCCAGGCAGTGGATGCAGGTGGTCTGAGCCTAGAGCGCTCTTTCTCCATCACTGTGCTATAAAAGGGTAAAGAAAAGAGCATCAAGTAAAGACTCCAGGCTTTGGGGGGCACAGTCCGGCTCACCCCAACATCTCTAGGCCCAGGCAGATGCCTTCACATCCACACCTGTCAAGCAATTATGGCCTCCCTTGCTAGGAGCTTCTGCCCACCTCACCTCTACCTAAACAGCAAAGAGCCTCTGTACAGCCTCCCATAAGTGGTATGATTGTCCCCATTTCACAGATAATGAAACTGAGGCCCAGAGAGTTAAATAACTTGCCTGAGGTCCTACAGCAGGAAAGGAATAGAACTGGGATTCAAACCCCAGCCTGTGTGAGATAATGTAGTCTGAGGTAGGGGTTAGAGACCAGAAGGAATTCATACTTATTGTTTCCTCAACCACCCCCAGCTTCGTGCTAAACTTTCCCTCTAGCGACAGCTCTGCTTTGTGGAAGGAGGTAGGCACAGGCAGAGATTAGTTCCTGCTGCCCAGCTAATCCATCCCAGCTGCCCGAGATCTGGGTCAGGCCTTCCTTCCCATCCTCGGGCTCAGCGTGACCACTGACCAGGATGCAGCCAGGACAACCCCAGGTAACACCGCACTCCCATATCACCTGGAGACCTTCAGAAGGTGGGGTAGTCAAGAAAGCAGTGCTAGCCCTGCCTGGTGCTCGCTTCTTCCAGGTCTCGCTGGGAGGATGTCAGGGCTAACCCACCTTCCTCCTGCCCCTGGACTTGAGGTTGGAGGTCCCACTAGCCAGCCCCACAGTTGCAGACCCACTGGCGCTCTCTCTGACACTCACCTCACAATCCTCCAACCCACAACCCTCGGGCTTGGCTGCCTGGGCAGGTGCAGAACAGTATCTTGCTATGCGGAGGTGGCAGCTGAGGGGAAGGCCCAGAAGATTAATGTTTATCTCCTCCCTTAAGTCTCTTACTGGCTAATGGTTACAGTCCTACAACAGCAACAGCACTAAAAATAAGGGTGCTCTGGCTTTACCAGTGACTCAGAGTGGGAAGAGGAGACACAGATTCACACTCCCAGCTCCTCGAAGGAGCCGCACAGGGTCCAGAGGGTCCATGTTGTCACTTAGATTGACCCAAACTGCAAGGAACCGAGCCCTGCGTGGTGGGGGAGGCCTGTATCTTCTCTGAACCCTGGGCTGCGCCTTGGTACATGTTTGGATCCTCAGCTATGGAGTCCCGTCATTAACACATCAGTTTTGGAGTCTAACAGGAGTCTAACAGCCCTGGATTGAGTTCCAGCACTGCCACTTCAGGTGAGTTACAAACCCATCTGAGCCTCATTCACTCATTCAAAAAATATTTATTGAGGCCTACTATGTGACAGGCACTGTTCTAGATGCTGGGGAATCAGGACAAAACAGACAAAAATCCCTGCCCTTATGGAGCTGATATTCTAGTGGGGCTGGGCCGGCGGGGAGAGACAGACAACAAGAACTGGATGGCATGGTCAATGTCGTGGCAAAGGCTATGTAGAAAAATAAGGCAGGGAGGGGGGAGAGTGTGTATTTATATAGGGTGGTCAGGAAAAGCCTCAGAAAGGAGATGACATTTGATTAGGACCCAAAGAAGGTGAGAGGGTGCGCCAAACACATTATCTTGGGAAAGGTGCCCTCACTTCTAAAACGGAGGCAGCAATACCTGTGAATTCAATGAGGTCATTGGGTAAGTGCCCAGCAAGGTGCCTGGCATACAGGGAGAGCTTCCTTTCCAAGGGCCCAGGGCCCAGCGATAAGACAGATAAGGCCTCCGAGGCCAGACTCTGTGGTCATGACTATCACCAGAAACACTGAGAGAGTTGGACCCATTCTCCCTTAGCCTGGGCAGTCAGTCACAGGATCCACAACACACCAAATGAGCCCTCCGACCTGGCTCCATCAGCCTTCCTGGGGGTGGGGGGTGTTCCTCCACCCCCCTTGTCTACAGCCTGCAGGTGAAAGTTAGCAACAGGGGCTCCTCAGAGACAGGACAGCCCAGGAAGTGCCACTGCCTGCGGGATCCCTCCTCTTCCTCGGCCTCAGGCTTACTGGCTATGGCACCCTGCCACCCAGCTCTGCTCAATGAGCTGTGCGGTTTCTGTCTACCACACTCTCCCTGCCTCCTTCCACCACGCATAGCCGGCCAGCACCCCAGCCTCTCCAGCTGTTGTAGCTTGTCCCTTTTCCATACACTTCCTGTCCTTAGTCCCCTCCAGAGCTGGTCCATGTCTGGGAAAAAGCGGAGGGCTCCCCACCTTAGCAGTAGCAGGATTCGGGAACAAGTATGGTTTGTAGAGCATTTTTTCCCAACTGCAAGGGCTATCCCGGCTAAACAAAGCATCCCCAACCCCCAAAGGGGTGAGGCCACTGAAATGGCTTGGTCCATAGTGGTAGGTCTAGACCCTGGCTCAACAACACTAGGTGATAACATATCAACCGGTGCTCTTGTCACAAAGGTGGTCTTCTCCCTTGAGACAGTCCTCCTTCCAGTGACCACTGAGCTCACTGTTCCTAGGGAACAGCTCAGATCTGCCAAGGCTGACCCTCTTCCCACCCACCTTTCCACTGGGTTTGTCCCCGCCTCCCCCCCCTCCACAAGGCCCAGCCCCCCCTTCCTGTTTGACAACAGCCACTTCCCGCTTTTGCACAGGGCCACTTCCTGCCTGCCTGTGTGCTACTGCCATGGGGAGACCCACCCCTGCCGGCCCTCAGCCCAGCTCCAACCACAGCCCTCTCTGCAAGGTTTTCCCCCTCAAGAGCAGAGGTGACAACAGGAGTAGAAAGCAGAAGCAGCTGTTATCAGGGACCCGCTTTGGGCCTTCCCCAGCAGCCCACCCAGGGCAGAGCCAGGCCCTGCAACGAAAGCGTCCCTGGAGGCCTTGCCTGTTCCTCCTTCTGCCCAAGCACTTCATGACTTGGTCCAGGGTGCCATGAGGACAGGTACCCTTTATGGGAAGGGCAGCAAGGAGTGACCGGAGTGACTGGATGTGCCAAAGGAGGCAAAAAAGAGACAGCACACAGAGAGGAGCTGGCGTGCAGCAAAGGGGAGTGCAGAGCCCTAGGACAATCTCTCCCCTAGCACTCCAAGAGAGACACCTACTCCAAATGCACTTTCCTACCCCCACAGGATGGGGGGCCAGGGAGGGCCAGCCACTGATTCTCCATGGCCCTGCAGGGACAAGCCTGCTGATTTAGTGACATTTCTCTAAAACCACAAATGCCAGCACTAGCTTCAAATAAGATTCAGCTGCCACCTAAACATACAAGCTTCTTTAAGTGGGAAAGGATGCAGAGCCCTAACTCTGGTTATGAGGACCCTCCTCAAGTTCCAATCTCAACGACACACTTGACTTTTCAAAGGGTATTTCAAAGGTCTGTGCCTGTGGCCCTAACATGGATCATGAGAAGCTTCCTACAGCCCCATCAATTTCAGATGCTCAGTGTGGGGCATCTCCTCTTGCGGCCCTTCTGAACGACCCCTCCTCCTTCCTAAGCGGTCAAGGTCCCCTTCTGGCCCCCTGAAGCATCACTCTGAGGAGCAGAAACGGGCCGTGTAGGGATTTGATATCATAATCCACGTTCTCCAGCTACTTAAAAACAGCCTGTGGCCTTGGGCACCGACCAGCAGGAATCCCAAACCACAATCCCATTGACCTCACCCTGACCCTGTGCCACACCCTTTCCTCTTTGAATTTCACTCTAAAGGTGCAAAGAGGCTCCAAAGAAGAGCAAAGTCCACCCTGTAAGAGCTGGGCCATGACTTCTATTTCCTTCACATCCATACAGCCCAGCAGAGGCCTGTCAATACAGGGGGACAGGGCCTGACCCAAGCCCACATGAACCCCAAGGCTCTGTTCTTTAACCTGGCATCCTTCCCTTCTCTTCAGTCCGAACTTGAGCAGTTTTAAGCAAGAAACACAAAACGCTGAGCCCCACTTTGGCCTTTGGATCTTAAGACAAGAGAAGCTTTAACTAAGGAGGGAAAGAAGTGCCAAGAAGTGCCCCACAGAGAGAGTCTCCCAAACGGGCCTGGATGGAGAAAATCCCCATGGGGTCACTAGCAAGCCCCAAGAAGGCAAGGTTCTGCCTCTGGACACTCTGGGCACTCTGGAGGGCCAGCACTGGGTCAGCCACTTAGTTCTCCGTGCCCCCGGCAGGGCTCTGGGTGCCTGCAGCCTTTGCCCACTGTTTTGGTGACATTTCCTTCATGGTAACCAGCCCCAAGTAAAACATCCCAGGAAGCAGCCCCTAAAAATAGCTCCTCCCAGGGCAGCGGCAAGGGGGGGGAGGGGAAGGAGAGGGAGGAGAAAAGAGGGGAGCAGATGGGAAGCTGCTGCTGTGGCTGCTAGGGCCCAGGAAGTAGAGATGGTGCTGGGGGGGGGGGGGAGTGGCTGGAAATCTCCCCACTGTAGAGGGTCTGGACCCAGAGGTGGGTACAGACAAGAGCGAGGTCTCGGCCAGCAGAAAAGAGGGACCTGCTCCACTGGGCTGAAAGCTCTGGGCCTAGATGGTGAGGTGCGGGAGCGATATATCAGGGTTTATCCCAGGATCTGTGTTTTAAAGGGAGGAGCCAAGGGGTAAGTGATGACCACATCACTTGAGGATGCTGGGTTCTGAAAACTGGCAAAATCATTGGCATACCTATGGCTCAAAATAAACCAGCGCTTTGTACCTTGGTTTCCCCCCTGGCCCTGGGGCAGATCTGCCTGGCCATCGGCGGTTGATAAAAGGCCCTTCGCCAAGAGGCACTCAAAAGGTGCAAAGTGCCCATCTCTTCCTGTCACTACCCTTTTGGCGCCCATGGGATCAGGCCTTTGTCAGCCTGCCAAGGCTGTCCAGAGAGCTGCAAGTACAGAGGTGTGGGCAGGAACCCATCACACCCACTCCTCTCCTTCCCTGTCTCCAGCCTCACAGAGAATGGGGTCAGCCATTCACCTCTAGGGTTTCAGCACAGCCCTGAAGCCTGGAGCACAGCTTCTGAGAAGGGACCAGAGCAAGCGGCTGGAAGAAAGCAGGGGCCTCTCTTATGGGATAGGGCCACTTTCCAACCTCCATCCCAACCCCATGATGCCAGCACCCAGAGTCACACTGGGAAGATGGGTGGGAGGGCAGGGTGACAGGCCAGGGTTGTACAAGCTAAGTCACACAGCTCACAGCATGACTGTATGATGAAACCAACCCAGCTTTGGCTCAGAGAAGGAACCTCTAGGCTGCTTCCTCACCCACTTGGGGGGAAGAGTCAGAAGAATGCAGTCACTTATATACAGATTGCCCATTTCTCTGTTAACAAAAATGGGCCCGCTTTATTATTTAGGAAGAAAGCATGGTTTTATGTACAACCTCCTTAAATGCTTTCTCAACTCCCCGAGTCCCAGTGTTCCAGTGCTGTATAGATTTTTCTTCCTTCTCTCCCTCCCTCGCTGCAGCTTCACCCTTCCCTCATTTCACCCAGATCCTTAACAGGAAAGTCTTACTTGGAGATACCACAGGGGACACAAATGTCATGGGGGCTACTCAGGCCAACACTAAGGGGGTGGGGACTCTCAGCTGGCACCACCCAGGGGGATCCTATTTCAGTCCCCAGGGCCAGCTGGACCCAGAAAGGGACAGCCTTTGCCCTTCTGGTAGCCAACATACCTCCACCCCGGCCACTCAACTTGCCACAGCCTTGAACACCGACTGACACACCAACCTGAGGGCTCAGAAAGAGGCCCCAAATCACAGAGCAGCCCACGTATACAGATGGCCCTGTCACGGCAGAAACGCCACCTGGAGAAGGCTGGGTTAAGGTGTGTCTGGTAAATCTCAGAGAGCATGGCAAGAGCAACTGTCCCTGCTGTTGCTGATTTTACAGGGCGTTTCTAAAATCTAAAGCGTGGCTCAGGGACCACCTGCATTAAACTCACCAGGGCACCTGTTAAAAATGCAGATTCCAGAACCCCACCCCAGTCCTCCAGGAGCCAAAGCTGTATGGACACAGCCCAAGAATCTGCATTTTAAACCAGTATTTGAGGTGATCCTTATGCATACTAAAATTGAAAATCGCTGCTTCAGGAAGTCCCAACATTGCCCTAGCAGGCCTTTAATGACAGAGAATCATAAGCTATCTTGTCTCTCTACATCTCCCATCTGCATTATGCCCCAAGCATGGGTCTTGAACTTCATAGGTTCTCTCTAACAGCTGGGTCAAGCCTACAGGCTGGCTCCATGGAGCAGAAAGGGGGAACCCAAGCCAGTTCCAGGGGACAAGGGTTCTAGCAACTTGGCTCCGAGGTTCC